TCCTCCCGGCACTGCTCCGCCTCCAGCTGCGCCTTCTCCCGCGTCTGGCGCCTCGAGTTCATGGGGCGCCAATGGGTCTCAAGCCTGAAGTATGGCAAAGGGAAGGTTCAAGCAAAGGACCTTCATGGGAGAGCTGGTTTTCTCTTGGGTGTCGTGTTGCTTTGCCCGGATATGTGATATGTATATATATATATATGTATGTCCCAAAAAAGGTTCTTCGATTTCGGCCAGTTGCGGGGTGCTGGTTTAGCTCTTTGTTTGGTCGCGGATGTTCCATGTTTGGAGCGATTTTGAGTGCTCAGGTGCGCTAGCGTTGGCGCGTCCCTCTTTTACATGGTGTCCACTACCCGCAAGCCACTACCCCAGGAAAGTCCGGGATATACCCTTTTACAAAGTCCTCTGAGGCCCCGGGGGTGTGGAACAATATTTCATATGGGTTCCAAAGTCTCTTTTAGCTCATACCCTGGTCTGTACAGTCTGTATATGGTTTGAACATAAGGTCCGCAATGTTTCAAATGCCTCCCTCGGCCTACACAATGGACCAATGGGCGAACAAAAAACATAACAGCTCAAAAGGCCAACGGTCCATCTTAGTTCCCTATGCAAACAGTCCAAAGTCAGCTTCCCAAATGGGTGGAGAGCACGATCCTTTCTCGGATTCGATTTCCATTGACTGACAACAAATTCCAAAACACACACCAGTTCCGCGTGACCAGCCGAGACTCTCCACCAGGCTGATGCCCTGCAAGAACGCCTGCCGGTTCATCCACTCCTTGCTTGGAGACAAAAACACGCGGGCAGTCAAGCCCCAAGGCACCCAAGGCAGCCTCGATCACATTGGGCAACCATTGGAAACACAAAAGGTCAGACTGGTGGAATCGGTTGAAACAAAAGAAAGCCAAACAAGGCGACGCAAAGGACGGCAAACAATGGGCTCCTTGCATGTCCGGCCAAAAAGGTACAGAATCATGGACATCCGCAGTATGCCCCCAAAAGCGATGAGCGCACTCTGTGGATCACCAGCCGACACAGTCGCTTTGGGCTGAGATTCGACCTTGAGATTCATCTTCTCCGCTTTGTAGGACCACTCCTGGCTCAGCAGCCTGTCGCCTCGAGATCCCAGCGTCGCCCGGCGTGCTTGTTTCGACTTGTGGGTGTGCCTCCCCAGGACGCAAACCCAAATCTGTTCTCGCCATAGGTAGGTGGCCAGTCGGTTGTTCAGTTGTGAAGGGGGGGCCAAAAGGAAACCACTGCCATTTTGGGCATCCCCTAATTTTGAGATATCCTGGAAACAAGGTGTCCTTCCAACTGTTTTTTACATATGACTCAATGTGGAACCCTTTTTGGCGGTGCCGCTTCAAAAGGTCAGGCCGAGGCCTCCCTGCTTGAAACCAGCCCCTGAGATCCCGAGATCCAACCCACCAATCCAAATCACGGGTTGGTAAACGCTACCACTTCAACAAGGCCTCAAAAGACAACCTTAGTTTCAGCAGAGTTTGAAGCAGGCGGAGTCTCTTCAAGGCCCCGATGGAACATGCGCCCAAAAAAAACAAAACAGCAAACAAAAAAACGGTCGGAGCACATAGCGCGGTTTCTACTAGACCTTCCCACTCCAAAGCCAGGCCTACAAGTGCGTTACGAACAAAACGAGCAGTTGGGCCGAGGGCCGTTTTTTGTTTTAAGAAACAGGCAACCCATTGCATCCACTTTTAGAACTCGCACCATCCATGTAACAATGTAGGGAACTCTCTCAACAGTATTGGCCCATCCGGGTGCATCTGGGTCAGTTCCCCGGTGATGTGGGTCTAAAAGGGAAGCCTTTTTTAAAGTTGATTCCAATATTCTGGTGGGCTCGACAGCACCACCAAAAAGTGATTTCAAGGATGCCACTGCACTGGGGGCTAGGCGCAGTGGTGAGCCACCTTCTTGTTTAATCATGTTGAAACCACTATTGTTGGAACTACCTTTGATTTGGTTTCGCGCACAAAAAGGCCAGCGTCTGATTGTCTAGCCACATGCTGCCCAAGCCCGACCATATCTTAAATTATATCTCTCAGCCAATTCAACAAATCGGCCGATTTCGATCCAACCCTTGCTTCAGCTGGTGTTGGATAAATCCCCCAAACCCACCTGCATCCAAACTCAGCCAAGGCGCGGAAGTGGCCCTCCTGCTCCAGCAGCACTTGGTTCAGCACCTCCCGGAGCCGCAAGTCCTTGTCCAGCTCCGGCGCCACACCTCACCGCTCTGCGCGCTGCGCGCTGCGCCCGGGGGCGGAGAGGCGGAGAGGGCCCCTGGGGTGCAGTGGACCCAGTGGGGTGGAACGCCGAAGCCTTTTGCTGACAAATATGGGGCCTTCCCAAGAGTGAGTCATAATATAAAGGTCCACCAGAAACTCAGGGAGTTTGGTTGTTTGCAACACTGCGAGCCAACACCTGCACGAAAGAACGAAAGGCAGCTACATAATCCTTCTAGTTGCACCTAATGTTTCAAATGCCAGCTTCCACTTAGTGGCGTGGTGGTTTGGAAGTCGGAGGTGCTTTTCCTCAGAGAACGCCAACATTCCAAGCATGCAGGATAAAAGCGCGGCATGGGCACACAAGGAGCCCGAGTGCTTGGTTGGCGGGAGGCTAGCCCCAGACCTTCTCCCAGACAAGGCGATGCAGGCCAAACGTAGCCCAGGCAGAACAAGTCCAAGGGAACAGAACAAGTAGACGCCTGTGAGCCGGAGCAGCTACTAAGGGACCTTGATCATGGGTGGGCTTGTTGCCAGGTGAGCTCGTCATCATGTTGCTTACCTGAAAATGGAGCCTTTGTCTCCCACGCGGAATCGCGCCCTTTGGCATCTGGAGATTTACGAATGTGAAGCTTCCGTGTGTGGGTATTGGAGTCACTAAGCAACATACCAGACACCAGTTGCATTAATTTCCGTACCCGTGAAAACTAAGCGGACACACACGCTTGGTGTGTTCATGTGTCTACAGACTTTTCTAGGATAGACCCGCAAAAAGCTAACTTTCTGTTCCCACATGATCATGGTCTGTAGTCACACCAGTGCGTGCGAGACAGGGCTGAAGAGGCGAAAGCAAGCCGGTGACAGCATTGATGGTATAGCCAGGATAGACAAACAGTCCTTTTGCTTCCTTCGGCTCCTTGAGAGCTTGGGTGCCTCGATCTCCCTTGTGGATTTTGGGACCGTGGCACGACCTTCGTCTGAGTCCGGCTGTAAACTCAGGTCTCACTGCCTGCCTTCCTATGGCCTGACTCAAACAGTGACTGGATTCACTGATAGTCGCAGGCCCGCAAGATCCGGTCCGTGAGGCCCCTCGAAAAACCACGCGGTAAGAAGCAAAACTGGGGTGAGGGATATGGACCAGGCCGATATCTGGGGTGCGGTGGCTCACGAATATTGCGGCGCATGCGAGCGCGTGTTCCAGGGTCAGCAGCTGTGACCCAAACCACCAAACCCAGTACGAAGGTTGGGCAAGGAAGCCCATCTCCAGATTGAAGATGGCATCCCGACGCCCATCTGAACGACAGTTCAAGTGAGGCATGATGAGACAGAAGGCAAGCAAGGTCGAAATTGAAGGATCTGGAAAATGCGACAACGCACACATAGACCGTATACTAGGCGCGGACCTAGTACAAGGAGCAGCTGGATGAGACCGGCAAGCGCAAGGATCGATGCCAGGGGAGGATAAATTTTCATGGCACTCTGATGAGGGTCCATGTCGGCAATATGTGGCAACACGTACAAGCCATGAGCCAAAACGCTGGCTACCTTTCTTTCTGCTGATTAGGAACCCCCAAAACCAAAAGTGCCAAAGAGCAAATGGTTTGTTGAGCCTGGCAGTCTTGCTCATGCTCATGGAAACCTGGCCGGAACTTGTTTGGTTGATTGCTCGTTTGTGACATCGACCGCATATGGACCAAACAGGAAAACCAAAAGGTCGCCACGTTGGTAGATGTGGGCAAAAACCCGCTCCAAGCCTTTGGAAGGCAGGTGCAGACCACCCACGCGGGTCCAAATTCAGGGAGCCCTTCACGTCGTTGTAGAGGGTACATGGAAACCACCCTCTAGTCTCCAAATCGCCGATCGAAACCACCGGTTGCAGTTTTTGTGAAAGACGGCAGAAATCCAGCATTTTGGTCTCGCCATCCCCACCCATATAAAGGGAATGGCGGCATCTGCTTTCACCCGTGAAGGGAAGCCGAATCCATCCGGGCCGCCGCAAATCTCGAAGATCTGGGCCACTGCTTGGTCCATGTGGGTCTGCGACGGCGCCGATGCAGCCGACACACGTCGAAGCATCCGGTCTGCGTCCTCGCGAGACGAATGGCTGGACAGAGGCCAGCTTGGAAGAAGTGGTACCAAACCTCATCTCTCTCTCTCTCTTTCTCTCTCCGAACCTCGTACAGCTGTGCGATGCTTTATTCTTGAGTCTCCTTCCCAGGCGTAAAGGGAAACTTGCAGGGTTCCCCCCATTTGACATACACATCCAAAGGCCGTTTCAGCACGATGGTGCCCCTCCTTCTCGGGTGGCCCCGCGGCTGCGGAAGCACTCGCGGCCATGGCGGAGTTTTGAGCCCGCCTGAAGTTGGCACGTGTCCCTCAGGAACTCCACTCCCACATGGGAAAGGGGAGCCTGGCGAAACCAGGGGCCATTTTCACGACCTAAGAGACTTGCTTTACCGAAAATGGCCCTGCACGCCTAGTGCCAACGCACATGCCTGCAGCTCGAGGCTTTTAGGCGACCTAACCTGGGTCTCTTTGGTGAGGAAAGCGCTTGCTTGTTGACTGATTCTCAGTTGCCCAAAGGAACTGAAAATAAAAGGTTGACCTTGTGGGACCATGACTAAAAATGGACTAAAAAGAGAAAACCACCAGGTTAAGAGGTCGGCTTTGGGCAACTGAGGAATGCTTTTCTTTTAGCGATGACCTGCCCAAAGCATCTAAGTTTCAAAGCGAAACGTCCGGCCGAGCCGGGAGAAACACGGATGCCTCCAGGGTCGGGCAGGAAGTGGGCGCCCACTCAGCCCAGCACCTGGCACTCTTGGGAAGCACCTTCGGTCAGCTTCCATGTCAACCTCCTCATGAACCCACAGCTAATATCCAGCGAGCAAGGCTTCCAAAAAGGATCGGTCCGCTAACATGTTTGTTTGTTGTTCCTTTTTTGTTTCCTTTGTTTTTTTTTTTTTTTTTTTTTGGGGGGGGGGGGGGGGGCGAGAGAAAAGGCTACCTTACTCTTGCCACCCTTCCCTTACTCTTCCAATAATTGTCGCTCTCCACCCCCCACCCCCGCAAAAAAAGAAGTTATGATCAATATGTCAAATTGGCTTGTCTCAAAATGGGTGGTCTGGTTTCCATTTCAAGCAATCATAAGTTCCCCCCAAGAAACATGCCGAAGTGGCATGATTTGAAATCTCAAACGGTCTGGCACCAGCAGCCACGGGCTGAATTCTCAATGTTTCTCTTTCGCCTGTTCGCCATTCCGAGGCAAAGTATGGCCGCCCCAACGCGGAAGAGCTCTCCGAAAGCTGCAAGGGGTGAGCTGATGATTCCCTGATCTTTCCCCCTTGTTCGCTACTGGCGAGCGACTTCTTGGGCGGAGAGGGACCGCAGCGCGCTACCAAAGCACCGAACCTCATTGACTGAGTTGTCGAGTTCCTTATCCCGGCGCCACCAGGGGACCAGACCCCGCGAAAAGAGGGTAGCCTCATCTGAATGCATAACACCCCCAAAATGGTTCCTGCATCATGGGGCTTGATCTGGATTTACCTTCCTTTGGCAGAGGTGAGGCAAACATGAGGTGTTCTCTCTGGTTCCAGCTTGGTTGAACATATGATGTCCCTGGTTTCAGTTTGATTTCAGTCATTTTCCAAACTGCACCCTTGTGCATCAAGGGGTTCGTCGAATTGACAGACTCGTTGTCCACTCGTTGCCGCACATGAAGAAGCTTTTCCAAAGGTCATTGTCCGAAGAGTCAGCACTTGGGCCACATCTTCTGGGTACACAGATATAACATGGTCTGACTCTCGTCTTTAGCCTACCCTGAAACAATTGCGAGATATTTTTGGAACAGACCCCAAACAGGTGATTTCGGTCGTAAAGAGCCACCACGTCTAGTTGCATCGGAAGGGATGCACGCCAAATCCAGGGAAGGCCAGTAAAACTCCCGGAGTACGGCCTTTTGCGGGCTTCCTCCAAGCTCAGGCCACACTAATCCCAAGTTAAGTTCTGGCAAGGAAAAATCAAAAGGGCAAACAAAAAGACAAGGTTGGAGAGTTTCAGCCCGCCTCTGAGAAAGGATTTCCAGGCTCAGGAAGCCCTCTCTGTGATATGCACCCGCCTCCGGCAGAACCAGTAGCCAGCCCAAGGCCCCTGTCCTGCAAGGCTGGACTACCCACCAGTTGCAACCTGTGACCAGTTTGAAGTTGGTCAACTTTTAGTGGGGAACCTCTATGATTATGTACACAAAATGGATGAAGCGTCGACTGAGCAACTGGGTACCTTCCCACAGCTCGAAGCAACTTGAATTTCGACCTGGTCTCAAACCGTGCTTGTTTTCCAACAATCATGAAAGTGTAATCATTGTCAAAAGGGGAAGCTCTTGTATCTTTCGGCATCGATCACCGGCCAATTCGGGCACCTCTGCGGTGAAAAAATTGAACCAAAGGGAAACTGCCCAGTTGAGGTGTTCCCCCTTTTGAAGACCAGCCCCCCCCCCCAGCCCTGTGGCGCGAAAACAAGCCATGGCAACACCTGCGGACGGAGCCCTATGACTGGGCTCAACCGATCAGCCACCTACTTGTCCATTTGTAGGGAATCTCAATTGGGAGTTCCTGAAAAAGGACACCTTTGCACATGGCACAAGGTGCTTTTAAGCAGCCTGCCACACTTGGCCTTTGGTTCTCCAATCGCATCCTTCCGGACTTCAAGGCGGTCCTTCACAGCATGGGCGCCCTTCCGCATAGCAGACCTGAGGGACGGCCCAAAACCTCGTGGTTTCTCCCTGGCGCTCATCCCTTGAAATGGGCCCAGGTTGTAGCTTTGCAACTGGAGGGAAACAAACTTTGAAAGGGCAAAGCTGACTGGGAAACCGCACATAGGCAGCATGTAAGGACCCAAGGACTCGAAACTGCTGCTGCTTTTTTTTCCCTCTTTTTATTTTTTGGTTTTCGACAGGTAATCCTTCTGGGAAAGGCCCAACAGTGTTGCCTTGTCATTTGGCTATGGCTCAAACAAATCGGTTAGCCCCGAGTTTGTGTCATCCCAATCCAACCACTAAAATAGGTTCTAAAATGGGTGGTGAATTCACATTTAGGGTGACAAACTTTCAAGGGAAAAGTTTGATCCTGGCACCTGGAGTTGGCACGGGGAGTTTGGGCCCCAAAACCGGCTAGGGCCTGGTTTGGCAGGCAATCAGCCAGTTTAAAGCATTGGTTTAGAATTGGCCTATTCTAAACCAAGTAGTGGGGACCCGTCTGGGAAAAACGACATTTACCAATAGGGTGCACTTGTTAATAGGGGAAGTTATGCCCCAAACCAGCTCCAAGCCGCTCTCAACTAACCCCCGGCCAACTGACCAACGAACACCAAATCACAGCCATTGGAAACCGCGTGGCCGGCCAACCAACCACCCAACCACCCAACCACCCAACCACCCAACTCAACCCAGCCAATCAACCCAACCCGGTTCCTTCAAAACCACAATCAACAAAACCAAGCAGCAATCCTTTCAAAAACCCAGGCATGGTACTTTTGGGAAGCACGGAACAGCTGTAAAAGGGGGTTAACAAAAGGCCACCTAGCTAAACTGATGCCACTTGAGGTTTCGACATCCATCGACGGCCACACATGTGTATATTTATATAACAAATGCCTGCCTGGGCAGAGCAATTACCGCAGCTACCGCAATTCACAAGCCGGATCTAAGGGACATACATGCACTCGATGGACCTGGTGGGTTCCTCCTAAAAAACTGCAGGACCTTCTACAGGATTCCCTTGTATTGCCGGGTACCCTCGCACCGTTTAAAAGGGAACATGCTCCAAACCAGGGCCTTTTCGAAGGCCGAAGGTCAGGTGGGACGGTGGGAGGCTCGGCCCGGGGGCCGGGGGCATGGCATGCTTGCACCCGTCGCAGGAGCGAAGCTCATGTCTCGGCACCAGCAGGCCCGGGCCGGCCTCGTTCCCAAGCCGCCCAAAATGGATGGGGGAGGGGGCAGGGGGGGAAGGAATCTCTGCCCTCCCAACAAAAGACGAGCTTCCTTTGGGCAGCTCCTTGTGATTGTTGGAAAGAGGGTAGTTCAAATCTGTCACTCTGCCACGCATGTTCCTAGGGCTCGTCTGGGCTCCTGGCCAGGCAGTCAGGCAGGAAACCAACCCCCGAAACTTCTGCTGAGATGGATCTTCTTAGAAGGTTTCGGATCCGTCCTGCTGAACACCATCAAAAAAACACAAACAAAGTGCACTTGAACCTACAAACAACGCCTCAACCTACCTCGCTTCTTGTCAACCTGTCTTCTCCAACAGGGGCGGGGGATCCCAACTAATCAAAGGGCACGGATAGCCTTCCTTGCCCCTTTTAGGTTCTGGGGCTGCCAAACGACCTGTGACCCACAATGCAACCATTGAAAACTCACTCCCAGCCAGGGGGGAAAAAAATCACACCAAACCAGCCATCGTCCTTTTGGTTTTGGAAGGGTGGTTCCCTTGGTTACCTACAAAACCAGAAAAAACCGCCCATGGCATCCGGACGGGCCCCCGGCTTCCAAGCTCCAGCATCTCACCTATCCAGACGGGGGAAGAATCCAACGGCTTCCGGGACCTTGGATAGAGTCGAAACATCGAAACACACAACAAATTCTGCAAAAAAGGCCCCAGTGGCCTTTTACCCAAAATCTTCGCACCTATCTCTAAAATATCATGGGCCCGGGCACTTCACTCGTGAAGTGCCCAGGCCACCCTAGCAAATGGTGCTACTTGTAAGTGACGGGGTGCATCTGTGCACCCTAAAACTACCCACCCAAAATGGCCTTCCAGGCCCCTTTCAGGTGCCCTCCTTGCGACGTGCTCATAGCCAACTCTCGGGTATGAGCTGAACACGTTCTTGTCGCAGCCCCCATTTCGCCAAACGGGCCTTCCCGCAAACCTCGACTCAACATGGCCCAGTCGCAAGACCAAAAGGTTGACGACAGGTTGAAAGCAACAAAAAGAAAAACGACGCACCAAGAACACGCGGAGCAATGTCCTGATTAAACCAATGACACCCATGCCCACTTGCCCCTGCCCTCCTGACAAACCAGCCCAGGTGTCCAGGGTCGAAGACCCCCCCCCAATGAGAACACCTTGCTATTCCATAAGCCGCAAGTGGGCGGGTGTTAAAACTTTGGGCCCCTTTGGGGATGTCCTTGCCCCCAACCTAAACTCAACTAGTTCAACTTTTGTTGGAACTCACGCGAGGCGAGGTTGAACAAAAAATCTTCAGAGACCCTGCCGCCAGAGTCGAGATTTGGTCCCTGCTAAAATGAAAACGAAAGGCAACACCCCTAAAATTGGGCACTGCCACACTTCCACGACAGGATTCAAAAAGTCAGCTGTCCAGGCAGGCACTATCGTTTGAAATTTGCCGACCATGTGCCAAAAGGAGCCAAAAGCATCTGTTACAGTGGACTGACAAAAGCAGTAATCAGCATCTCGAGCAGATCCTTCTCCTACACATGTTGCCGTTCCCAAACCTGAAATACGAATCGGATCCTCACCCCGTGGATCCCAGTTACCGGTTGATTCTAGGGGTTGATGCCTTTCCCATTCCTTTCAACCATCCTTCTTTTCCAAAAACCGCTGTTTTTCAACCCTCGGTTTTTTCGATGGTCTGAAAAGAAGCATTCCTGGAAAGAATGGGGAGGCTTCAACTTGATTCACAACGGATTTATAGTAGGCATCCAGCTATCTTCCTTTTGGTTGCAGGGTAGCTCCCTTGGTTCCCTACAAAACCCGGAACTGGATCCACTGGGCAGAAGGCGTAGCAGCCCAGCTCCAGAGGCAAAGGCAGCCACCTCAAAGCGACGCGACTCGATAATGCCGGGCCCCGACAAAGAAACAGGAAAACTGGGTCCTCCAGATTTGAGAGGTTGGGATAAGAAAACCAGTTTTTTTTTTTTTTTCGGCAGTCTATTTTAGTGGGGGAACCCTCCCAACCAAAAAAGGGTAAAAGGGTACTACTGGGGGACCTAGAACCAGCCAGGGCACACAATGGCCACTGAGTGGATCATATATGGGCCCATACAGCCTTTGATCCAAACTCACTATACCTTCACGTGTCCCTTCCCTGAGTAGTTGGAAAGTTCGGCAGATTCATCCCGTCCAGTTTTCCATCCGTTCCCTAAGTCCGTGGCTCAGCGGGGTTTGTCTTTCAATATATGTGGGACCCGCATTTAGTGGTTGGAGAAGAGAACTGCGGACGGAAAAACAAGCGATGATGGTTGGGGAATTAAATGCAATTCGTGCAGAACGTGAGGTTCGTTTAAAATCCGCCAATTGGTTCTCTTGGATTGTTTTGCGTCAAACTCCTGCCTGTCGCAGAAGTCGCTTTGGTGTTTTCGGGGTTCGTGGCACTTTTGGGCACCTTTGGACTCGACAAATGCCCTGTCATTGAGGGCGAAGAGCAGCCGGTTTTGGCCACAGTTTGCCCAGCGAATTGACCGTTGGACTTTTAGGTCAGTTGCCGATGTGGCAGGCAAATCGCGTCCAGGCAAGGGAAGGCTTCATGAACCCAAGAGAGGTTGCCTCACTTTCCAAAGCGAGACCGTTGATTGGTTTTCTGAGTCAGCTCCTATGGTGATCGTCTTTTGTGTTCAGGTCTGATCCCACAAAAAGGAGATACGTTGCAACATGTATCAACTTCCTTTGCCAATTTTGCTTACCTTGCTAGCTTTTGCCTGTTCGATGGTCCGTTTTTTCTTCTTCTTTTTTCTCCCCCTTGATAAAAGGCAAACGTCAACTGTTTGCAAGTCGGCTAAGTTTGGCCGAGTTGTTGGGTTCCATGCCAACTCTCAGGCAATCACTGCTAGGTCCACCTCGGGGCTACCCGTGAAACGCTGACTGGCTTGGTCTCCTACAGATGATCAGTGTTCTCGCGGCTTGCCATTCAGAAAGATCGCTCATTCAGTGGCCGCTTGAATATTGCTTTTTTGTGTTCTACAGTGCACAAGTTTCCCTTGGGTGGGTATTTGCTTAGGGGGACACTTGAGGTCACATGTATGTCCCCACATATGATCCCCTGATGAACCGCTGGTCTGTGGCACTCTCGCGCCTGTTTTTGCGGCAGGAACGACGGAGTGTGCTTTGTCTGCATACCGAAGATGCCTTGCAGTGCTGGGTTTTGTTCGTGAGGACCTGGAAGCGGAGTCATGTACTTACTGGAAGTGAAGTGCACCTCTACTCTTCGTTTTTGTGATAAATTCTTTCGCGCCGCCAATCCAGTTCTTCGGAGATGATATTTCGAGTTGGGCAATTTCTCTGGCTGCTTTACCATGGTTCGGCGGATGGAACACGAGGCACGACAAAGCGAAATCCTTGCAAGAGTGATCCTACACGGAATCAACAAACCACAAAACAACAACAACAACAACAACAACGACAACGACAACGACAACGACAACAACAACAACAACAACAACAACAACAACAACAACAACAACAACAACAACAACAACAACAACAACAACAACAACAACAACAACAACAACAACAACAACAACAACAACAACAACAACAACAACAACAACAACAACAACAACAACAACAACAACAACAACAACAACAACAACAACAACAACAACAACAACAACAACAACAACAACAACAACAACAACAACAACAACAACAACAACAACAACAACAACAACAACAACAACAACAACAACAACAACAACAACAACAACAACAACAACAACAACAACAACAACAACAACAACAACAACAACAACAACAACAACAACAACAACAACAACAACCAACAACCAACAACCAACAACCAACAACCAACAACCAACAACCAACAACAACAACAACAACCAACAACCAACAACCAACAACCAACAACCAACAACCAACAACCAACAACCAACAACCAACAACCAACAACCAACAACCAACAACCAACAACCAACAACCAACAACCAACAACCAACAACCAACAACAACAACAACAACAACAACAACAACAACAACAACAACAACCAACAACCAACAACAACAACCAACAACCAACAACCAACAACCAACAACCAACAACCAACAACCAACAACCAACAACAACAACAACAACAACAACAACAACAACAACAACAACAACAACAACAACAACAACAACAACAACAACAACAACAACAACAACAACAACAACAACAACAACAACAACAACAACAACAACAACAACAACAACAACAACAACAACAACAACAACAACAACAACAACAACAACAACAACAACAACAACAACAACAACAACAACAACAACAACAACAACAACAACAACAACAACAACAACAACAACAACAACAACAACAACAACTCCAAAAATGACATAACCACACACACACACAAACGTGCTCAAACATATGCACGTAGCTCTCTCTACAAACATGATATATGTGAACAGGCACAACTCATTCCGTGGTTCAAAGGAAGCTGGTCTTAAAACTCTTGTTCCTCAACCATCTACATTCTACACTGCGCATTCGTCAGGTCACATTGCGCCGCTTTGCGAAACCAAATTGAGCTGCACTGGGTGACTAGAAGCCAGCGAAATGAGACGCATTCGCGCACGGTCCGAACGGCGCGCCTGGTGTCGGTGGGGTGTGGCTCCCCAACGATGGCTGACCTTGGCCCACGTCGCTCATGATCTGGCTCAAATTCCAGGTGTTCGAGTTCAAAGTGTTTTCCTGTATTTGTTGCAAACATGAACTGAACAAATGAATGTACTTTAGTGTGGACGGTTGCTAAAACCACCTGAACTTTCAAGCATCCCCATTCAGCTTTCCTTTCTCCGAACCCCTGGCAAAAAGCATCAAGCTTGCTCAGGGATTCTGAAAGAACTAAGTGTTGTTCACCGCCCTTTAACGGGCTGGTGCTGGGACACCTCTCATCTCGTCTGTTCGTAAACTAGACACTCCCTCCTCGGTTGCTCGTTCTACAAAGCCAGCCAGCTGAGGTTGTGCACAAAAATGCAGCCGCAGCCGCCCCAATCTGAACATACGCGCAGATGAACTCCTAGCACAAAGGCAAAACCAGGACCATGAGTTCTGGTTCAATTCCACTGAGCCGCTCGCTGATGTAAGCCCCTGGCTAAATGCACACCACTACAGATAAACATCATTTGCTACCATGCCCTTACAGAACTCCTGGTAGCTCATTGGCTCCCTCTTCAAAATTCAAATGTGGATGCCAGCCCCGGAACGGCTCCCTTCCAACCAGGTCACCAGCTATTGAGCAATCGCCTTTCGTGCCCCAAAGGGTTCCTTCCGTTCAAGGAAGTTGCTTTCTCGTCTCACACGCCTTCAGGGCACCCCCTGCAAAATACAAACAAGTGCCCTTGAGGTACACATAGCGCATGCATCTAGAGTGTCTGTGGTTTAAAAAAGAACGATGAAGCACACACACACACACATACAGCATGCATCTCTGTAGTGACATGTCTATCTATATGTGTGTAGATATATATATATATATATATATATATATGTGTGTGTGTGTGTATGTGTGTGCTGTGTGTACGCGGCATTTGTTCAAACAACACGCTCCTAAAGGAGAGGCTATGAGGTTCCTCTTCAAAGGCTCGAGTACGGATCAGCCCTCAGCAGCTGAGATGATGGCGTCAAACAAAAACCTATGCTCATCCTTGCAAACTTAAGAACCCTGAACACAAGTAGACACATGTCTAGTGGCAGATCCCATTTAAAACTAACAGGGTAGAATAAACACACATTCCTGGTTCTTATTTCCTACCTTTAGTGCCTTCCTGTCGCAACTCAGGTTCAGGGAGCCCGGGGGGCCCCCAAATCCATGGCCAGCGGCAGCGTGTCGTCGGGCGCAGGGGGCCTGGCGCGGCGTCTCGTTAGAGAACTCAGCAACCCGCCCGGGCGAGTTTCTTGGGAGGTCTGTGTGTGGGTGTGTGTGTGTGTGATTCCCTGTTGGCTTCCTCTATGGAAAATTTGGATTATGCACTATCGAGCGCCCAGCTGAAATAAGGGGCCACCAAGCAAAACCCTCGTGGGTGGGGTCGCAAACCCCCTTGACAGTGGCAATACTGCTTGTTCCAGGAGTTAGCATCCCTCAAGCGAACAATGCACCGTCGGGCATAACCGATAAAGGCCCAAAATGTTCGCCCACAAATCAATGAGTGGAGGAACCTGACAATGTGACAATGTGTGTCATCTTTGCGCGGAATCCTTAATCCCCCCCTCGTTTGGGACAAACGAAAGGTCCCCTCGTATTATGAGCTTGGGACCCGAATGGAATGTGCAGACGCAGCACCACGTATCATGGCTAGCATGCTGTCATGTTTGTCGTTGCTCAGCTGGTACGGTGGCAGGGCTGAAACAGAGCTTTGCTTTCAAACCGCGTGTATGGAAAGAAGAACCGTGGTTGGTGTCAGGATAACACTTGTTTTGCAGCTTACGACTCTCATTGAGTCTGGGTGCAAGTCGAAACTGAAATTCTTTGTCAGGTCGCCATCTCACTTCCTGAGAGTTCCTGCCCAACAAGTCTAAAATTTGCTTCGGGAGTGAACGATTCAGTTGCCAGGCAGTGCCAAAAAGGCCCTTGCAAGAATTACCTCTCTCGGAAAATTCAATAGGTCGTAGCTCATCCCCAGTCGATGTTGACATGGCCAAAGTGGCATCCGGTTTCAACAAGCAAAACAGGAGGTTTCCCTTTTGCGGGTCCATGTTTTTCCTCGCGTGCGGAGCCTGGGGAACAAGGCGACAAACATTGGCACCTGCTGAAACGATGGGAGCCATTCAGCTCACTGAGTGCTAAGGGTGGCCGAACAAACAACTTGCCCAGTGACGAAGGTAAAAAAGCGTATAAGCACTTTTGCAGGGTTCAATTGAATTACCCACCAAACTAAACTGGGCTGTCCAAATCCCCTGCTAAAAAATGTGTTGTTTTAACTTTTGGTGGATTAAATGGAAACACTCACTAAACCCTAAAAACCTAAACAGCTAAGGGGATGGCTGAGAACCACCAAGAAAATTCACCCATGCCGAACAAACACCGCCTCTTGCGCAAAGGGCAGCGATAGCGGTGCTCCCGAACCTCGGGTGACGCCAAATCAGCTCGTTCCAACAACGTAAGTTGGGCCTTTGCGGCAAGTGAGCGAGATATGGCTATGGGTCAAAATTAGACTAATAAGGGGACCGCAGGCTGCAGGCTCTAGTCCTTGGTTCCATTTTCCAGGGTGCCATTTTGGATACTAGTACCTATTTAGCCATATGCGGAGATTGGAGGAGGGCTGATATAAAATTTGGCATCCTCTGTTTCCATTGCCTCGATCCCACTACCCACTGATGAAAACGGCCTTCCAAAACAAATCTTGTTTTCTTGCTTAATTCGCCAGGGGAGGGGTGCAGCTTTTCCACCAAAGCTCCTCGCAATCACCTTTGCAGCAACAGCCCCAGAATCAGGCGGACTTTATCTTGACATGATTGGCTAGGGACACAAAGATCCCTACTATGTCAGGCAAGCCTCTGGACAAGTAACATCCCCTGAATCTTCAAGCTTTTTATTAACACAAATGGGGCGTGGGAGTCAACATTGAACTAGATAGGAGCTTCATCGCCTTTTATTCATTGTAAAGAAATCAAACACATGGGCCATATAGCACCCAGCGGATGGGTGCTTTGTTTGTTGTCAGCCCTTGGAATGTGAGCATGCAGAATTGCAATGTCACAGCCAGCCATGGCATTGGGTAACAAACTGAAAGCTAACAGTGAAACAGCTTTTGAGTCGAGAGTCCTATCTTTCTGAGTGACCCTTGCCTCCAAGCAATAAGCCAATAAGCCAACCCCAGGGGTGAAGCGAATAGGAAAACAATTATTCAATCCTTAGACGATTCCAAGCACTCAAGCACAAACACAAAGACAGACGCACACGATGCAGCTTCAACTGTGCACCACAGCCTCCGACTCATGGCAATTTTCAACCTGGAAAGCAGTAAAGACATGCCCAAGCCCTCTTTGATTCACTGAAGGCTACAACTAGGGGGTCTTTAAAAGCACCACAAAACGGAAACCACCCCACATGATTCCCTCCACAGAAGACTCCCCTGTTTGAGTTCCATTAACCCAAAATTGTCCCGTCACGAAGCCATGGGGCCCTTTGGTGGCAAGCCCTAAGGTCCCAAGAAGTTGGGACCATGGAAGGTCGCAAAGCACACGGCCCCGGCGATCACAGGCCGCGCCAAAAGTCAAAAGAAACCAACCGGCGCTGCGGCGCTGGCAACAAACCGAAACAGCTGCATAGCCAGCAACCAATCGCTGCCGACATGTGGGGCGATCTTTTTGGGGAGTCAGTGGGATAACATGTTGACTCCACTCGGTGGCTTTGTTTCGACCATTCAGGTCCCGGGCCCAACGAAATGTGATGTTGACTCGCTCCTCCGGGCTCGATGGCGAGTTTCGATGCCAGCCAAAAACCCTGGGCGAGGCCAACATCTTGGCGCTGGGGTGGACTTGTTGTCTGACTTTGTTCCTTTGTTCCATACCTGGTCTACCCTCAAAAGTAAGATCATGTGGAAGGGGACGCCTTGTTATTCCCATAGACTCTAACGGGGCAGGGGGGTCCTGAAATATGTCTTTGCAGAAGCGGCCTTATGGTTTCCCTGTGGGTGCGTGTCAAAACAGTCACAAGAGAGGGGACCCCCACAATGGTGATTGTCCTCAGCCAGAAAAAGGGCACGCTCAAATAACCCGGGACCCCGGACGGCCATGACAATCAGCCACTGGGCCATTGGAAGTGCGTTGAGGCTCAGGTCTTCAGGTCTTCCGGCGTGGGGCCACAAGGAAACCCTGAAAAGGTGATGTTGCCAACAAGCGGTATGCGGACTCGTGGTCCCTCCGCCTTCCAAAACAACAACAACAACCACAAAAAACACAAACAATGTGACAGTAAATGCATATATATATATATATAAGGAACCCTCTCCTTCCCCACTCCCCCAGCATCCGACACCTGAGACCCGACCAAAAAGCCCCGAGACCTCCCATCGTTCCGGCGGCGCGCCTCGCGGACCGGTTCCCGGGGGTTGGACTTTGGCACCAGGTGGAGGCAGTGGCGCTGCAGACGGCCCTGGGGACAAGTTGGGTTTGGTTCTGGACATGTGGCTGTGGCTCAAAAGACCGGAATTCCACAATGGGTTGCCCTGAGAAGTGGAAAAATGGGCCAAAGCTGGTTAATTCCGAGCCACACCCATGTGCCAAAACAGCGTTGCCTGGGGTTGGTTGGCTCGGACAAGGTCCAGACACAAACTTGTCACAGGTTAGAGGCCAAACATCCAGAGGAAAGTTGTATGACCATGATCCAATTCCCTGTTTCTTTCCTTCAGTTGTGTGTTTTCTATCATTCGTACAACGGAGGTTTCTAGCATGATTCATGGAACGAGGGACCAATGGAAAAAATACAGCATTGGCTTGACAACAGTTGATGTGTTCTGATCAAAGTCATCACTTTAATTCCTTTGCTGGGACTTAGGAACCCCGGGGAAGTCTGATTGTCATTTGTTTGGTTTACCCCAGACTAGCGTTTTTTTCCACCACATGTCCAGCCACGGCGGGGGGGGGGGGAACCAGGCACCCGAAACGAAGGGACGCAACCAACACCTGTTAAAAGTTGAAAGCATGGCTAAGCATCGTTTGATGTCTCGCAAGCAACACCTATCACTCACTTGTCCAAAGGACCTGGAAATAAAAGGTACCCCTTTGGGAACTTCTACAAGCCAAAGGTCAAAAGGTCGGTCCGCTAAAACTGCCCCGAGGATTTGGAACAGGTAGAGAAGGGCACACAAACCTCACATCCAACCTAACTGGCGAAAAACATGGAGCTCGCCTTGCACACGTGGAACAACACGCCAACGCGTTGTCCGAAATTCCCATGACGTCTTAAGGTGGCAACCTCAAGCCGAATTTTCCGCAACCATGGTTCCCACTGTTCGTAAATGGCTTCAAGTTGAAGGGTGTCTAACTGCCGTTTCCCCGTAAAACGGAAAACCGGGAACCGACTTCGATGTCTCTGGCAAAGCGGCCGTGGGGCGAAGCGGGAACCCCTCCCATCACAAGAAATAATCGCCCATTTCTTCGGCCTCGTCTTTTTTCGTGATAAACCCCCTACACAACAAGAAGAAGGGAAAAGAAGATGGGTTTTCCCGAAAAAATGAAGAAGGAAAACCTGACGGCAGGTGCGGTCGCCTCCATGGTCAAGAGGTCTCCATCGCAAAGGTCCAGCTCCACGATGCTCCGCGTCTCCGGGTCCTCAGGTGGTGTTTGCCCCAGTTCCCAGCCTACGGGTCCCCGAAAGGGACAACGAACATGGATATGGGCACGGCGCCCAAATAGGGAACCCTCTTTTTTTTTTGGATGTTTAAGGAAGGCGTCCATGTTTCAAGGCCGCAAAACAAAGGAACACCTGCCAAAGCTTCACGCCAAGTTCAGTTCAAGGGTTTTCCTGTTGGCTTCCTCTGGGCACAAATTATATGAATGGCCCCTCAAGGCATCTCATTATTTCGTTTAATATGCATGGACAACAAACGTTCAAACCGTTCAAACCGTTTCTCCCCCTTTACTCCATCCCATAATTTATCCTCATCCATTCCAACTGGTGCGAAGAAGATTTTCTCCGTCCACAGCAGCTCCCCATTCATGCGAGACTTCTGAACATCAGCGGGGCAAGCAGTTTTTGAGCCGCACTTCCTCGCGGATGGATGACCAGCGCCGGATGTTTTCGGCGCCTGTGAAACCAAATCCGGGTGCCAAACAAGAGGTCCGAAAGGGTGGACAATTACCCGTTGGCTTTAATAATTTACTTAGCACCCAGAACTGTGGAAGCTGAGCGCTGCGCCGCTGCGTTCAATGTATTCTTCGCAGTCCCACACTTATGAAGAAATACTAGGGACTGTCTGTGGGTGGGGGCATTTTGAAGAGAAACGAGAAACCCTACCTTAGCCCAACCAACAGTCTTGTGTCTGACGCTGGTGAGTCATGGAATCTGCCGCGTTCCAAAGAGATCAGTTTCCCAACAATCTACCCAGCTGGACTTTTAGGTCCTCCAGTGGAGAGGTTAGAATAAGGGTACCCTTTTTTCTGTGTAGTCCATTTTAGTACGGGAACAGGGTAAAAGGGCGCTACTGGGGGACCTAGACCTATAGGCTTATAGGAACCTTAAAATCTACGGAGAGGTCCCTGGACTGGTTCAACAACGCCGGAGAAGTCTACAGGAAGCGCACGGCACCATCATCCTCGAGCTCACCCGGCGGCAGGCAGATTTCGCCCGCCTCAAAGGCTCAGCACAGAAGAAAGGCGAGCAGCGCAATTGTCACACCCCGGCCCCTCTTACCATCAAACAAACAAACCAACCGACTAACAAGCAAGCAAACAAATCAAGAAACAAAGCAGCAAAGCAACAAATCAAAGAAACAAAACAACAAACCAACAAACCAGCAAACAAACAAACAAACAAACAAACAAACAAACAAACAAACAAACAAACAAACAAACAAACAAAAACAAAAACAAACAAACAAACAAACAAACAAACAAGCAACCCAAAACCAACAAACAAGCAAGCAACCAAAAACCAAAAAAACAAACAAGCAACCCAACAAGAAAACAAGAACACCAACAAATTACTTCGCTTCGAGCAATCCCCACCCTCCACATTCACGAGCTTACGACCGTGAACACGGTTGTGAGCCGGATGCTCCGCGGGATCCACTGGCGGGCTGCTCTGGTGGGATACTCGGCGGGATCAACTGGCAAGCCGTTGTGGCGGGATACTTGGCGGGATCCACTGGCGAGCCGCTCTGGCGGGAGACTCGGCGGGATCCAGTGGCGAGCAGCTCTGGCGGGATACTGGGCAGGATCCACTGGCCAGCTGCTCTGGCGGGATGCTCGGCGGGATCCACTGGCGAGCAACTCTGGGATACTCAGCGGGATGCTCGGTGGGATCCACTGGCGAGCCGCTTTGGCGGGATACTTGGCGGGATCCACTGGCGAGCCGCTCTGGCGGCATACTCGGCAGGATCCACTGGCGAGCAGCTCTGGATACTGGGCGGGATCCTGGCAAGCTGCTCTACTGGCGAGCTGCTCTGGCGGGATACTGGGTGGGGGCGTGGTGTAGAAGCATCGCAAACGCGGATTCCAACATAAAATCATACAACCCCTTGCTGTCGGATGGGGAACAAACAAACAAACCAACAAAGCAAGGAACCAACAAGTAAAGCAACACACCAACAAATCACAAATAAAGCAGCAAACCAACAAATCAACGGCAAAAGCAGCACACCGACAAACAACCAAAGCAATCAAACAACAAACCAACCAACAAACAAACAAATTGACAAAACAAAGCAAGCAAACAAACAAGCAAAGCAATCAAACAACAAACCAACCAACAAAGCAACCAACAAACAAACAAATAGACAAAACAACGCAAGCAAACAAAGAAGCAAGCAAGCAAGCAAGCAAGCAAGCAAGCAAGCAAGCAAGCAAGCAAACCAAATAAACCACCCAGGGTCCCTGGTCTACTTCCAGGATCGGTACAAGGACACCCTTTTTCCAAAAAGTCCCAAGCAAATCGACTGAATTCGACCTGGCGAAAGCCCGGATTGGCCTCCAGCATCCTTGTCTTGCACTATTGTGAAGGGGGATGCCCAATTCAAGGGTAAGACACAACCATCTTTCGCCAACTTTCAGGTCCACCCAAATCGAAGTACCCCCCGTACACACTAGCCCAAGCGGAGATGCCTCGCAGAAGCACGGTGCCAGCACTTGAGGTGCCACGTCAATCTGCAGAGCCCCACAGAAACCCGGGTGTCGAATACAGGTGGAATCTTTCACTTGTTTGGGAACAGCCCCCTATGAGTCCGCAAGGGTTTCCTGGGCCGACACAGAAGCCCCAAAACCACAATTCCTAGAGGAATCTCCATTTGAAAATGGCCATTTCCTGACTTCATGATTCCCCGCTTATCAGTGGGAAGGATGTTTTTTGGGGCCCCAGTTGTTCCGAGGAAAAAGGGAGCCCTGTACGGATTCGCCACACTGCCAGAGAGGTCTGGGGCCAGAAAGCCGGGAAAGCCCCGCGCCTTGCCAAACTCCTCGGGCACCTCGGTGGGAGCTGCCGTCACCGGTGGCGGTGGCGGGGTGAGAGTCCTGCGGAGGATCTTGAGCTGCATCAGGTAGTCCTGTGGCGCCGGCCATTTTTCACCCCGTAGAATAAAACTTCCTCCCCATTTTTTGTTTCGGAACTTTCAGGTGCCGCAAAGCAAGGGAAGCACCCAAGTCCCCCAAAGGGTGTGTTTTGTGGTTCCATGTTAACTTGCAACACACTACTTAGGTGCCCTCACCAACAAGCATGAAAGTGCAAAGGCGGCGAAACCCTTGATAAAAGACAAACGTCTTCTAGGTGTGTATGTGTGGGTGCTGTTTATTGGTGTGGGGGCATGGGAGGATACAAAAAGACAAGACTTCTTGCAATGCTGCAAATCATCCCAACGTTATCCAGTCACGCAACTGCATGGACAAGGTGGGTCCGCTAAGCCGTTTTGCTCTGATGGTCAGATACACCCACAATCTGACAACCCCCAATTTTTCCTTCGCCCCAGGCAACCTTAAGCGAAGTCTGTTTCAGGCCAGCTTTTGGGATCAAGGGTCCGGGCCTGCAGATGACTCTCCGGTAGCCACACTGGTGTAAACAATTCTCAGGTCGGTACTGATCAGTCGCAGCGGGGAGCGGCTCTTGTTTCGCGAGAGTTTCGGGGGAGCACCGCCCGTCACTAACCCGCCCCGCCAGTTGCTGATTCGGCTGCCTTCTGGAACTAGCACATAGTTGCGAGTCATGACCATTTCCCTCGAAAACAAACTGCCTCAAACAAACAATCATCTCAATATGAGGGCAAGGTTGCCCCGCGCAAGGTTTCATCCGAGAGATCTCTGGATATCGGTTCTATGATAGTTCCAGTTGTCTGACATTCGGGGCTGAATAATTGCTAACAATTTGCTCCTCTGAAAATGACTTGCTGCAATTGGGCTTACCACCCCATTCTGGTCATTTCGGCCCTCGTGGCCTTGTGGTACGCAGAGATTTGAGACTCTCAACCAACTCATGTCTTCTCAGGGCTTCTTGCAGCTTCTATATCATCCGGAGTACGCGCTCCTGATATACCTGTTATATACCCATACGTACTTGTATCAGCATTGTATGCTGAGTATATGTTTGGGTCACCTGCCCCCAAACGGATTGCTTTTCACCTTGGAAGCTCTGATGAATGAAGACAGCGGCCGCCTTGGGCCAGCAAAGAATGACCAAAAGTTACGAATGTTTCCCCAAATGGCATATGAACATTGTTCGGTCTTTTGGGTGGGGGTCCCAGTGTCCCCCCCGCCAAAAAAAAACACACACACGCACAACGAACCACCAGTAATTTGGTTGCCGCGCGGTTCGCGCAGCAAATGCCCTCAGTTATTATCAGAAACTTTACCTTAGCTGTTGCCCCCAACCCAAAATCACATGCCTGATTCTGGTCCGTTTAAGCGAACCTTAACACTTAACATATGAAAATGACCTTGAACAGAGATCCACCACTTCCGAAACCGCAACTCCGGCCCAATGTGACATTGACTTCCATTGGCTTTAAAACCAAGCCATTTAAAGGACATGGTCTTCCAGGACCCCCTGTCAGGTTCCATGTTAGCGGACAGGAGGGCAAGTCCAGGACCTGGGTGATCTGTCCTTACTCTCGTCCGGCAGGCTGGCAATGAAGGCAAAGGACTGTGTTCGCACCGCCTCCTCACGAAGGTATCGGCTTGAACATACGACAATGCGTCGATAAAAGGAAGCTCGACTCCACATGTGCCCATGGTCGAACTGCTTAGGCCATGGTCATGGCTCCCTGAATAGGAACTCTTTCAATTCGCTGAAGGTCCATGACCATCCCCCTTGACCATGTCACAATTGTTTTCCCCGTACATCCACAGAAGGAAAATGCTTGTGGCAAAGGATCCCTTGATTGGGGCCTGGTACCCCTTCCACACAGTATTTGGTGGTGGGGCATGGGGATCGGACAAGTGCTTGCATGCATATGTCCCGCAAAAGATTGGCGTTTCCCTTAATACACTGCCGCAGTTCTCGGCTTCCGGAAGTTTAAAACGAGTGGAGGAGCATGTGGCCTTGTTCCATCGAAAGAACTCTAAGCCCAGGTAATGCTTAAACCTCTCCACTTGCCACATGGGTGCGGCTCAAAAATGACCCCCAACAT